CCCCAGCTCCTTGTCCTCATACCCCAGCTCCTAGTCCTCATACCCCAGCTCCTTGTCCTCATACCCCAGCTCCTTGTCCTCATACCCCAGCTCCTTGTCCTCATACCCCAGCTCCTAGTCCTCATACCCCAGCTCCTTGTCCTCATACCCCAGCTCCTTGTCCTCATACCCCAGCTCCTTGTCCTCATACCCCAGCTCCTTGTCCTCATACCCCAGCTCTTAGTCTGTCCTCATACCCCAGCTCCTTCTGTCCTCATACCCCAGCTCCCAGCTTGTCCTCATACCCCAGCTCCTTGTCCTCATACCCCAGCTCCTCCTGTCCTCATACCCCAGCTCCTTGTCCTCATACCCCAGCTCCTAGTCCTGTCCTCAGCTCCCAGCTCCTACCCCAGCTCTGTCCTCATACCCCAGCTCCTTGTCCTCATACCCCAGCTCCTTGTCCTCATACCCCAGCTCCTTGTCCTCATACCCCAGCTCCTAGTCCTCATGTCCTCCTTGTCCTCAGCCCCAGCTCCTTGTCCTCATACCCCAGCTCTTAGTCTCATACCCCAGCTCCCCAGCTCCCAGCTCCTGTCCTCATACCCCAGCTCCTACTCCTGTCCTCATACCCCAGCTCCTCCTGTCCTCATACCCCAGCTCATACCCCAGCTCCTGTCCTCATACCCTCATCCTTGTCCTCCCCAGCTCTCCTCTGTCCTCATACCCCAGCTCCTTGTCCTCATACCCCAGCTCCTTGTCCTCATACCCCAGCTCCTTGTCCTCATACCCCAGCTCCTAGTCCTCCTCATACCCCAGCTCCTTGTCCTCATACCCCAGCTCCTAGTCCTCATACCCCAGCTCCTGTCCTCATACCCCAGCTCCTCTGTCCTCATACCCCAGCTCCTTGTCCTCATACCCCAGCTCCTTGTCCTCATACCCCAGCTCCTTGTCCTCATACCCCAGCTCCTCTGTCCTCATACCCCAGCTCCTAGTCTGTCCTCATACCCCAGCTCCTCTGTCCTCATACCCCAGCTCCTTGTCCTCATACCCCAGCTCCTAGTCCTCATACCCCAGCTCCTTGTCCTCATACCCCAGCTCCTAGTCCTCATACCCCAGCTCCTTGTCCTCATATCCCAGCTCCTGTCCTCATACCCCAGCTCCTCATAGCTCCTGTCCTCATACCCCAGCTCCTAGTCCTCATACCCCAGCTCCTAGTCCTCATACCCCAGCTCCTTGTCCTCATACCCCAGCTCCTAGTCTCATACCCCAGCTCCTCCTCATACCCCAGCTCCTCAGATGACTGCTCACTCCTGTTAGCAGGCTGAGAGCTTTCCCTTCCCATAGCTCACGGTAACCCTTACCCTACTAGTTTTACACACAGGTGGGTACAGGAGCAGATGACTGCTCACTCCTGTTAGCAGGCTGAGAGCTTTCCCTTATAACTCGTGTTAGGCCTTACCCTGCTAGTTTAACTAGAACATGACCCGCCAATCGGTTAACAACCAGGTCCCCAGTTACTGCTGGGTGAACAGGGGTGAACAGTTAAGGACTGACGCCCAATCAGGGTTCAAACCCAACAACATGACTAGCGAGGTGCGGGCTGGGTGTACCACCTGAGGATTACGTGAAGGGTTATACACAATGTGTACAACCAATGGCATCGGAACTACTTAGAGAAAATATTAGCCTATCTTGTACATTAGTCTCAAACCTTAATCATTTCAAATACAAATATCCACCTCAACAACACAACCACATTTGTTAATTGTTTTGAGTTGCGTGATTATGTATTTCCTTGTGTTTCATGGTGTTAATTGTTATCATCCCTGACAGTTACACACTAGAGGAAATATTTCAAGAGGAGTGGAGTTTAAAATTGTTTTAGTGAGTTTAGAGGAGCAGGAGGGTGACGCCGGAGTGTTTGGTGAGTGTGTGTGGTAAACATTAAGGATGTGTAGAGTCATTCAGTACACAGAGACATCACATTATCGTCATATATCAGTGACAACATCCACAGCAGCCGTGATAAGGATTCGAACCTATGCGCTGGGTATTCCCAGAAGCACGCTCTAAACGACTACGCTACGACATGGTCAAAAGAATTGCAACCTGGGGTACTACTGCACTTTCGAATCCCCGCATACGTTCGAATCCTCATCACGGCTACTGTGGATTTTCTCATATTAATTCAGTAATGAATTAGTTTTCTCGGAAACAGGAAGCTTATACTGAAGTCTACCCTCACACACACACACACACACAAAGCGGTATGCCACTAGACTAGTCCCAGGACTAAGAGGCATGAGTTACGAGGAAAGGCTGAGGGAACTGCAACTCACGTCGCTGGAAGACAGAAGAGCTCGGGGAGACGTGATCACCACATACAAAATTCTCAGAGTGACCAATCACTCTGGTGATTGCTTTCTGGCAGTCCAGGAAAATGCAGTCAGCCCACCCTTCTCTTTCCTGCCTAATTTTTGTTGCCTGGTCATAGAATTCTATTAAACCTGTGAGGCGCGATTTACCATCCTTGAACCCAAGTTGGTGGTGCGTTACAAAGTTATTTCCCTCCAGATGCTCTACGAGCCTTTTCCTCACGATATTCTCCATCACCTTGCATGGTATACAAGTTAGGGAAACTGGCCTGTAGTTCAGTGCCTCTTGCCTGTCACCCTTCTTGTATATTGGGACTACGTTAGCTGTCTTCCAACTTTCTGGTAGGTCTCCTGTTTCCAGTGATCTGTTATACACCATAGAGAGTGGCACACTTAGTGCTTCTGCACCTTCCTTTAGTATCCATGGTGAGATTCTGTCAGGCCCAACAGCCTTTGTTAAATCCAGCTCCAGCAGACACCTTTTGACCTCATCACTGGTGAGGTCAAATTCCTCCAAGGTTGCTTGGTTTGCCTCCTCGTCATTTAGTACAGGGGCTTCTCCTTGTTCTATTGTGAAGACCTCCTGGAATCTCTTGTTGAGTTCTTCACACACCTCCTTGTCATTCTCTGTGTATCTGTTCTCCCCTTTTCTCAGTTTCATCACTTGTTCCTTCACTGCTGTTTTCCTCCTGAAGTGGCTATGTGTGTGTGTGTGTGTGTGTGTGTGTGTGTGTGTGTGTGAGAGTGTGTGTGTGTGTGAGTGTGTGTGTGTGTGTGTGTGTGAGAGTGTGTGTGTGTGTGAGTGTGTGTGTGTGTTAGAAACATATTCAGTACACATAATAGAGGAAATATAGATTGGTTAGAAAGGCGGGGTCCAGGAGATAAAAGTACGATTCAGCAGGCACAAATAGTAAATACACGCGCGCGCGCGCTATTCCAGAACAAACGTTGATCATATGCTCCCAAAACCATCCCGGCGTCCTGCCTTAATCTGGAGTCCTTAATCTTAATCTGGAAATAATATATATATATCACAGTCCGCCCTTTACCAGGACGCTCACACACGTTTTCTACGTCTTGGGACAAGGACCCGAAGTCCCGCTTCATAAACTATTACATAATGTACAATAAATGTACAAAATGTGCAATAAGCCATAAAGGGCTGGACACTCCGAGGAAGCGAGCTAATGCCGCCAGCTGCAGAGATTTATGACTGGTCAGAGTGTGAGTGTCAGAAGGAACAATTTAAGTTTTTGACCACAATTTTTCATACGGAAAATTTATGGTTCAATTATAACTGTATCTTGTGTTTCCTTTGTCTGGGACAGACAGAGCCTATTAGGCTTATGGACGGCTAGGCCAACGACTGACCCTCCCTGGGATGCAACCCATAACTAGCTGTCCAACCCTTTGGCTATATTTTTACTGCTAGGTAAACAGAGGCATCAGGAAGACAGAAATATTGCCCAAACGTCTTGCCCCTGACCGCGAATCGAAGGAACTCTGGTCCAGATAATGATACAGCAGAGCCATACACATAGCACGAGTGTTATGGCAGCTGTGACAAGTGTCAACCCCGATATTATGGCAACATGTGTCCACCTTAATGCTATATGACAACTATCACAAAATATCTCCCACGTCGCGAACAATACTTGACATCTTCTCAGTGCTAGAATATATATACTTGGGAGGGAGGGAATTACCAAGGGAAAGCGCCAAGCCATTAGGACTATATAACACTGGGAAGGGGTCAGGATAAGGATTTGGGATGGGACGGGAGGAAGGAATGGTGCCCCCAATCACTTGGAGGGTCGGGGATTGAACGCCGACCTGCATGAAGCGAGACCGTCGCTCTACCGTCCAGCCCAAGTGGTTGGATAACACACTTGGGTACAGATGTCTCAGTCAACCTATGGCACATATTTCCTCATGTTTCTCCACACATGGCGTGACAAAGGGGTCTGACAGCTGAGTGGACAGCGCTTCGGATTCGTAGTCCTGAGGTTCCGGGTTCGATCCCAAGTGTAGGCGGAAACAAATGGGCAGGGTTTTTATTTCACCCTGATGCTCCTGTTACCTAGCAATAAACATGTACCTGGGAGTTAGACAGCTGCTCCGGGCTGCTTCCTGGGGATGTGTAACAAAAAAGGAGACCTGGTCGAGGACCGGGCCGCGGGGACGCTAAGCCCCGAAATCATCTCAAGATAACCATAATCTATTGTACCAACTTCATCACAAAATATCTTTACATGTTAGTTAAGTTTAAAATCATAAAATCCCTCCCATAATATTGTTTTAGACGCAAGTTTGTGGACCTATGGAACAAATTACCGGCTAACATAGTATATATGGAATAGCTGGGTTGTTTCAAGCGTAGGTCAGACATATATATGAGTGAGTTTGAGGCGGTATAAGAGAGAGCTGCCTCGTTTGTAGACGATGAGTCACAATAACGAGGCTGAAGACATGACGACCAAACCACACCCAATAAGATGAGCAGACGACGACGTTTCACTCCGTCCTGAACCAGTATTAACTCGTGTACGAAAAAGTCACATTGACGTACCATAATGTCAACTATGCCAAGTCTGGCTATGTGACTTGGTGGCCAATGGCCGACCAGGTGGCTAGAATGGTACATACCTGTGGGTGGAGGGTGAACAGCTGCATGGGTGTCGGGGCGTTGGCTCCCCGCGCGGGGAGGCAACGGAGGCGGTTGGTAAGGTGACATTGTCGAGTGTGTGGCATCGTGCGATGACGTCACCGGGAGGGGCTGATACGGCGACTTGATTAGCTGTTGATTTGATGACGTTGCCGGAAGGTGCTGATACGGCGAGGTGAGTGGGTGCTGGTGTTGTGACGTAACACATATGGGCTGATACACTGACGTGACTGGTTGCTGGTTGGTTGACGTCACAGGGAGAGGCTGGTATGGTGACGTGATTTGCTGCTGGTGAGATGAGGTCACCGGAAGGGGTTGGTACGGCGATGTCATTGGTAAATAATGAGAGGACGTCAGCGCTACTGACGGCTGAGACACCACCAAGGTGCTGACGCCTCCACTCTTGGTGGAGAGGCTGCCAGCCGGCCGCCCATTGGCTGTCACACCAGTGCCGTTCAGCAGTGAACCATTGTGCGTCAGGCTGTTCACTGTCTGGCAGCTCTGATTGGCTGAGTTCATCGTTGCCGCGGCCACCGCATTTTTCTGAAGACAAAAATTAATACAATTATAATATATATATTACCATTTATATTTGAGAAAATGCGGGTTTTCATAACACAGTAAATTAGAATTATTGAAAGTGTCTTTGGGATATATACATAAACTAGTATATTTTGGTAGCAGTCTTTCCTGTAGACATATATTATTAAATATGACCGAAAAAGTAAGATTAATAATTCTAACACGAATTTTCTCTATCTTTCTTACATTTCATTTCACTGTTGATGGTAATTCAAAGATCAATTCTCCAAAATTCATATTTATTTCTAGTCTGACGCGACACTTGAGCGCGTTTCGTAAAACTTATTACATTTTCAAAGACTTTAGTTTACAAACACACAACTGAAACTGAATAGAGCTTACACATCTTCGAGGTTTATATCTACATTTGGGTGAGGTGGATGAGGTGAAAAAACGAACTTTCAACAATGGGTATTCAATGGGTATTAAATTCCAACACAAGACAGAACACGAAACAATGGGTATTGAATGGATATTAAATTCAAACACAAGACAGAACACGAAACAATGGGTATTGAATGGAAGTAATTGTAGAAAGCCTATTGGTCCATATTTCTTGATGCTTCTATATTGGAGCGGAGTCTTGAAGTGGGTAGAATATAGTTGTGCATTAATTGGCTGTTGATTGCTGGTGTTGACTTCTTGATGTGTAGTGCCTCGCAGACGTCCAGCCGTCTGCTATCGCTGTATCTATCGATGATTTCTGTGTTGTTTGCTAGGATTTCTCTGGTGATGGTTTGTTTGTGGGAAGAGATTATATGTTCCTTAATGGAGCCCTGTTGCTTATGCATCGTTAAACGCCTGGAAAGAGATGTTGTTGTCTTGCCTATATACTGTTTTTTTTTAGGCTTACAGTCCCCAAGAGGGCATTTGAAGGCATAGACGACGTTGGTCTCTTTTAAAGCGTTCTGCTTTGTGTCTGGAGAGTTTCTCATGAGTAGGCTGGCCGTTTTTCTGGTTTTATAGTAAATCGTCAGTTGTATCTTCTGATTTTTGTCTGTAGGGATAACGTTTCTACTGACAATATCTTTCAGGACCCTTTCCTCCGTTTTATGGGCTGTGGAAAAGAAGTTCCTGTAAAATAGTCTAATAGGGGGTATAGGTGTTGTGTTAGTTGTCTCTTCAGAGGTTGCATGGCGTTTCACTTTCCTTCTTATGATGTCTTCCGCGAAACCATTGGAGAAGCCGTTGTTGACTAGGACCTGCCTTACCCTACAGAGTTCTTCGTCGACTTGCTTCCATTCTGAGCTGTGGCTGAGGGCACGGTCGACATAAGCATTAACACTCCTCTTGTACCTGTCCATCTCGTACACTCCTCTTGTACGAGATGGAGAAGGATGGGAAGCTGCCCTTTCTAGATGTAACAGTCATGGAAAGGAGCGAAGTTTTCCACACTGCAGTCTACACTAAGGAAACAAACATAGGAATGTGCCTGAATGCCAACAGTGACTGCCCGGACAGGTACAAGAGGAGTGTTGTTAACGCTTATGTCGACCGTGCTCTCAGCCACAGCTCAGAATGGAAGCAAGTAGACGAAGAACTCTGTAGGGTAAGGCAGGTCCTAGTCAACAACGGCTTCTCCAATGGTTTCGTGGAAGACATCATAAGAAAGAAAGTGAAACGCCATGCAACCTCTGAAGAGACAACTAACACAACACCTATACCCCCTATTAGACTATTTTACAGGAACTTCTTTTCCACAGCTCATAAAACGGAGGAAAGGGTCCTGAAAGATATTGTCAGTAGAAACGTTATCCCTACAGACAAAAATCAGAAGATACAACTGACGATTTACTATAAAACCAGAAAAACGGCCAGCCTACTCATGAGAAACTCTCCAGACACAAAGCAGAACGCTTTAAAAGAGACCAACGTCGTCTATGCCTTCAAATGCCCTCTTGGGGACTGTAAGTTCAAAAAAACCCAGTATATAGGCAAGACAACAACATCTCTTTCTAGGCGTTTAACGATGCATAAGGAACAGGGCTCCATTAAGGAACATATAATCTCTTCCCACAAACAAACCATCACCAGAGAAATCCTAGCAAACAACACAGAAATCATCGATAGATACAGCGATAGCAGGCGGCTTGACGTCTGCGAGGCACTACACATCAAGAAGTCAACACCAGCAATCAACAGCCAATTAATGCACAACTATATTCTACCCACTTCAAGACTCCGCTCCAATATAGAAGCATCAAGAAATATGGACCAATAGGCTTTCTACAATTACTTCCATTCAATACCCATTGTTTCGTGTTCTGTCTTGTGTTTGAATTTAATATCTATTCAATACCCATTGTTTCGTGTTCTGTCTTGTGTTGGAATTTAATACCCATTGAATACCCATTGTTGAAAGTTCGTTTTTTCACCTCATCCATCTCACCCAAATGTAGATATAAACCTCGAAGATGTGTAAGCTCTATTCAGTTTCAGTTGTGTGTTTGTAAACTAAAGTCTTTGAAAATGTAATAAGTTTTACGAAACGCGCTCAAGTGTCGCGTCAGACTAGAAATAAATATGAATTTTGGAGAATTGATCTTTGAATTACCATCAACAGTGAAATGAAATGTAAGAAAGATAGAGAAAATTCGTGTTAGAATTATTAATCTTACTTTTTCGGTCATATTTAATAATATATACATATACATATACATATATATATATATATATATATATATATATATATATATATATATATATATATATATATATATATATATATAACAATGTCAAACCACGAAGGAAAAATTGAAACAGGAATTTCCTTAAGTACTTTCGAATTTAATAATACATCTTCAGAAGGGTGAGTTACATAGATCTGAACATATACAGGCAAGAGAGAGGTGAAGTGAAGTGAGGTACAATGATAAATATATGACTGGGAATGGAGGGTTAGAAAACTATACCATTCTCCCTACAAATTTGGGTAAGATTGTTCCCTAAGGGTCTGGTTTTCAACATTGGACAGAAAGACAGACATTCCCTTATAATACAGATATAAATAAATGGGAAACTTAGTTATATATTTAAATATATTTATTGGGGTAAGTTCAAATAATTTATTTATGTAAAATACATAATAAAATAAAGTAACAAAAAAGTAAAATAAAAATACATAAGAAAAATAAATAAAGTAACAATTCCTGTAAATAAATAATATCTTCCTGTAAATACACTTATATTTTCTTCTAATATTTTTACATTTCAACCAAGACCATTAACTGTTATTAATCCATCCTAATTCATTTTAAGGAAAGCGTAATATAGGTGAACCAAGATGGATATCTCAGCCTTTTAAATAAGTTATACCTCTAATACTCCAACCCCCCCCCCCCCCAAATAACATGACATGAAAAAAGGTACCAATAAGGGTCCAAGACGGACCAAAACGTCGTCCTTTTCATTTCATAAGCGTGAGTTTGAGTTACTTGTGGCAGCCTCGGTACGGAGACTCATTCTCTGCAAGTCATACCTCTATTTATCACATTTTCTGTGAACTCAAGGCGATCCTATTTTTAAGTTATACCTCTAATATCCACATTTTCTGTGGACGCAAAGAGAGCCCATTTTCTACGATCGTCCCCCAACCCGGAGATCATCACCCCAGACGCCCGAGGTCAACACATCGTGAGAAATCTTGATCACAAATGGCGCTTAACCTGTCAAGAGGTTAATCTTTTTGTATCAGCGAGATTCTCAAGCCGTTTGTTTTATGGATCCTGCCGCTTAAGCTCCCACCAAAAAAACTTATCACTTCGCATATATATATGTAGTTGTCTGTGATAACTAATATTGTACCTTATATGCATAAGATCACTTTACTGGATGCAAAGGTTATACAAACATGCTGATCCGGAATATTAATAATCCCTGGAGGCTAATACGCGCCCATAACCATTACTGGTCATCATAGATAGGCTCCGGGCGGCAATTTATCAAGCCGAATAGGCCTCCCGTGCGCAGGAAAGGGAGCCTATTGCGCCCAGATGATTTAAGAAGATTGAAGATGACGTAGTTAATAATTTAGCGTAGCTGAGTTCAGCGGTGTTATCCCGGGTAACAAGCGGCGATAACAGCAACCTGTTATCATCATCCTCAAGCCCATGCAATAAGTCAAATACTGACTTACGCAACTTTTAATAAATTCTGTAGTTGACTTATGGGTCCTGAAGCATAGTGGGCTTCGTGCTCGGCTCATAAACAAAGGACCCGGGTTCAATCCCCTCAGGCAGGATACAGAGATGGTTAAGCACGTTTCCTTTCACTTGATTTAGTTAACTGTTGTGGGTTGCATCCAAGGAAAGGCTTACGAGGACCTAGATAAGCCTAATTATAGCCTTCCTGTCCCCCGACAATGGGAATTATACGGCAGACAGCCCTTGTGATGAATTTTTCGTGTAAACAAATGCGGTTATCTAAAATATTGCCCGAAACGCATTGCGTAATAGTGGCTTTAGGCATTGTATGTACTAGCTCTATCTATATATCAATCCATTAATGTAACATCACTTGTATGTATGTACCTTACCTGAATAAACATATTTATTTATTTTATTTATTTATATGAATTAATATTGTTATATATTGTGGGTCTTTGTGAAGTTAGAGGTAGAAAAACCTTGATTTTAAACCTGCGCTGCCTTGTGGCCATACCTATCTTTTGGGAAAGGCTTCAGGAGTCAGCCTCGAGGAAAAAACCGGAGTTAGAGCCCCTAAGGCAGTTCGTTGTTGACGTCGACCTCGTTCTGGCAGCTCCTGCGACGGTGCTGGAACAATGTGTACTGGCGTTTGCCTTTCCATTGGATAATTTCAGCAACGTGGAGAGGGAAGGACCTGCTGCATGGGTAACAGCTTCTCCATATCTACTACCCAGGCTTTACGCCCTGGAGAGGACACTCCAGCCTTGCCTCACAGCGTCGAACCAACACGGCAAGCGACAGTCTATCGGT